TATTTTTCGAAAATTTTCAACTGCTATCATATGTCCTTTGTTACAAGAAATATGATGAATGAAACCCGACCAAAATCGGTTGATAAACACGCCCTCTAGAGTCCATTTTCCGTATTTTTGCTAACGTTGCTTCATGTTGCTCAGACAATTTTCGTTTTACATTTAAGCTGGGATTAGCCGCAAGTTACGAAACGTCACGAAGTCTGTTTTGCCGTACCTGTTGCCATTTCCGAGAAAACCGGCCCGCCGTAGACGAAAAAAAAATCAATACGAAAACAAAGCAGGGCGAAGAACGCCCTGCAATAAATTCGAAAATCCTAGAAATGTAACCATTTAATCGGCAAAATTTCACAAATATATGAGCCACATTTTTTTCTTAATTTTGAATTTAATTTTACTTTCTCTTGCAATCTAGAAAGACACATACAATCTAAAGTATATACAAACAGATGTAGAGTTTAAATAACAACATTTACAAAGAATTCCACTCTTACCTTTGTCAACCGTTTTCAAAACCGTCAGATCCTTACTTCGTCAAGGGCAGACTCGATCTGTAACACATAAAAAAAGTCCTGCTAAAACATCAACTTACACGACATTTCATTTTTACCTTTTACAAACATCTATAAAAGATGGTTTTAAACAAAGGTAAAGTCTGTATAGCAGTCTAACAACCGATAACAAAGACTTTGATAAAATCAATAAAATAGTTTGGCCTATAGTTTTTATTGTAAATGTTACGCAATTACTTTGCTATTAAAAATTAATAATATTTTCATCATTAACAGTGGAATGTTAATAGAAGTTTCTATTATAAGAGTCGAGTTGTCAGAGCTGATATCAGTCTGGTTTATTAGAGACACGATAGATGAGAGATATTCTGCACCTGATTCACTCCATGCAGTGAGCAATGAGGGAAATTTTGCCAAGACGGCAGCATTAGACTACTCTCTGAACGCTGAAATTGACGATTCAACTCTAACGCTAGAGTCACAAAAGAAATAAGTATCTCAAGGGAAAAGTACCAAGAAAGATGATGCATGAGCTGTTTTCACTTTCCCAAACAACATAAAGAAATTCACATTCGTCATATTTCATCTTAGATATTACATTATATTGATTAATTACGTCATTAATACATCACTCCCGCTTCATTACCATTCTCTAGTCAGAAAGTCAGAAATAGTGGTTAACGAAGCCCATAAACTGGCCCACCATTTCATCTAAAACTTCTTCCAAGCGAACACAACAGAGGTCTAGTTAACGAATCCGAAATCTTAAAGAGAAGGTATCGAGATTTTCCCAAATATATCTCTGAAATAGACGAAATCGTTTTGTCCGTCTTAAATCATGAGTCCAAAAAATATTCTCAAAAACAAAATCCATAAGTACACCACAGACCATTACGGGATTTGGATTTCTTCTTCAGATTAGGTAGCTGTATTTTGCTCACACTCAAAAACAATTTTTCATGAGTATCGTAAAACCGCGTAGTTTCTGTCGGATTGTCATTAGACACTTTTACGTGGTTAAAATGATACTACGTCTTAGAATGAACATAAAATTTAATTCTCAAGAATGGTCAATATGAGTATATATTTATAATATCATAATATTATAATATTTTCAGTAGTTAATTGCATTTTTATTAAGTTTTTGGATTTATCGGATTATATAAGGATCCTGTTATGTTATTTATGACACCAGGTATATCTACTGATGAATATAATGCTCTTATTGGACCAGTTTAAAATGTTTAAATTTTATGTTTATTCTAAGACGTAGTATCCCTTTAATCAGTTGGGATCTAAAAGGGGTAGGCTAAGGACCACTCTGACAACATTTAAATGCCAAATATGGTACAGAAATATGGGACATAAAACTCCATTTCATTTGATTTCAATTAGAATTTATAACTCGGACTCTGATTGGATAAGCGTTAAGCCTTCATTGCTAAGCGTTCCCTACTATGACGTCATAATATAACGTTGGAAACATTCTATGAACTCAGCGACGTTGAACATGTCAGAATATAATTCTCACAGAAATCACGGAGATTATTCCAGACCACAAGGTGTTCCTTGTAAGTACAAAGATTAATTTATCTGAATTCGTAACATCAGCGTTTAAATCTACCGTATTGGAAAATAAAATTGGCTTTTAACTCGGATTAGATTGTGTCATTTTGTAGGACTGAATCATAAATGAGTTTTACGTCCTACTTTTCTGTGGATAGAATCAGAACAGATACTCGTTAGTGAAGAATATACTATAACTATTGAATACTGAATTCTCTGATTGGTTGATATCATTGCAGTGATCTTTTTAACCAATGAGATTGCTCGAAATATCTAATTATATGAAATGATATGACCGTATGGGCAACGTAAAAAAAACTCAACCTATTTTGTTAAATGGGAGCCTGATATTTGGGGGAATTTTTAATTTCAGATTCTGGATATTATCCACCAAATTCAGGATGGATACCGAGATGTGGTACCGGAAGTTACAACTGGGAGAGTGCTCCCCGGGACAGATTCCATACTATGGATAGAGTCAGGAATGCCGGTCCAGAGAGAAATCGAGGTGAAGGTTTAGGATGGTCATCTTCACCAATTTCAAGCTGTGGAATGAGACAAGGTTTCCGTTGGGATTCATCTCAATTGCCTCAATTCAGAAATGGCACGTGCAGTTTTCGGTGGTCATCTCCACCAATGGCAACAATGCCGCCAATGCAACATTATGGAACAGAAAGTTCCCGTTGGACTTCGCCTCAAAAGTCAAAACCCATCAAAAGAATTCAAAGGGATGAGGGTAACACTGCAAAAAATACTGATAGACTGAAATTCAGGAAATCAAAAAGGTTCAACACATCAGATCCTATTATAGCCTATTCAATCAATGACTCGATTGAATCCATCCAAATTGACGGAAAGATGGGATTCTCGAGAAAACGAGGTGAAGATGGTTTTAGAGTAACAGAGGCTGGTGAGTGTTTAACTGATACAGTAAAACTCTACTACCCCTACATCCATTACCTACCCTTATTCCCTACCCATATTCCCTACCCCCATTCCCTACCCCCTTTCCCTACCACCTTTCCCTACCCCCATTCCCTACCACCATTCCCTACCCCCATTCCCACTATCATCAGTGTCTGTGGGTCTGCCATATTGCTACTCCCCATCCCAAGCATTCCCTACCCCTGTTCATCATACCACCAGTGTCTGTGAGCCTAATATATTGCTCCTCCCTACCCCACCCCAAGCATTCCCTACCCCTATTCATCATACCACAAGTCTCTGTGGGTCTGCTATATTGCTCCATCCCACACCACCCCAAGTATTCCCTACCCCTATTCATCATACCAACAGTCTCTGTGAGCTTACTATATTGCTCCTGACCATCCCCTTCCTCCATCCCTCCATCCCTCCACCCCTGTCACATCCCATCATAATTCTATTCATTTTATCTCTGGTAGGTAAGACACAGGACAAGATTCAAGAGATATGTAAAGTATTATTAGGAAACAATGTAGAGGATGTCGACAGTCCTTCATTATTACAGTCTGATATAAAATGTTATACCTATATGACTAGCGTTGATTATATGACTGTTCCCGCTCTACAGCTGGTATTTGAAAGAGACAGAATGCGTGGTGGATTATTCAAAAAATCAGAGAGAACTATTGAAGATCTTGCTAAGTCCTTGTGTTTTGTGATCAGTAAGCTTTTCTATGCCATATCCAAATTTTGTTTGAAAGATGAACATGGAAATAAAACCAACCTAAGACTCTGATGGATATTTTGATATCGGTTTACACCAGCCTACAACTCTCAAAATAGCTATCAGAGGCTGGAATAGAGGTATAGATATTTCTTTCTACCAACCTAGAAAACCTATTCCGATTTTCTCAATGAAGAGTTAGTTCTATCCTATACTAGGTCTGAAGGAGAATCAAACCCTCCCTTTCCTGAAAATATATAAACTTGACTATCAACATCTTATTACTATAACAATATTTTTTGCAGTGAGAATGAATTTAGAAGAGCGACAAGTTATCCTGTTAGAGGGACAGAAACAAACAGCTTTAACTACAGAAGGTAATCTTCTCTTCAATATATGACAATTGATATTCACTGTCCATCTTAAAATATAATACCATTTCAAAACTCAATTAAAATCTAAAAATACAAAACTATTTTAAAATTAAATGGAAGCCAAATTTAAAGATCGTACTGGTTACTGTACCTCTTCTAGTCCCATCTTGACAAGAAAAGCAAAAA